AAAAAAACAAACAGTTTTATAAATCAATAAATAAGTTTAACATGGGATTTTTTTTTGTAATCCACATGATATATCAGAACAACAGTGAAAGAACTTCAGTAAAGCAAAGCAAAGAAATTCCAAATAAGCACAAGCCTTTAATAAAGGTCAAACAAAAAATAAAATTTTTGTTCAATCAAAGTCCCCCCCTTACACCCCCATCAGAATCCCCTTTAATATTAGAGATCCCCCTTACAACAGGGTCCCCATTAGAGCCCCCCCTTACATAAATGTGCCCATCAGAGTTACTCTTTACATTGGGCTCCCTATTAGAGTCCCCATTTTTATCAGGGTCCCCATCAGAGTCCCTACATTTATCAGAGTCCCCCCTTACAGCTGGGCAGGAGCAAGGCTGTAGCAGCAGATCTGAATGAAGGAAGTTCTTTCCTCCTGTAAAATTTGGGACAAGCATGTTATTGGTTGCTAGGACGCTGGTGGTCCTAGCAACCAATGACTTGGATGGTAATCACATAGTAGGGAAAAACCACACCGGAGATTGGGGCGGGGGACATGACACAGATCTTTGCTGATCTGAAGTTACCTGTTGTCATGTACCTGGTAGATGACTGAATTGACAAGGTTAGCCACTCTTGTATCTCCAGCCCAAGCCTCACTAGAGGTGGAACAGGTGGTGGTGCCAAGGGAGAGGAAGAACACGAGTGCCGGCAGGTGTTGATAGCAGAACTTGCAGCTGGGGGTACATGCTTGAGAAGTCAGGCAAGACATCAGGTCAAAGCGGATGTGATGCACACTGGACCAGTCAAAGTTAAAGGGACATTCCTCATGTACTGCAAGTTCTGGAAGTGTGGCTTGTTGAAGCTCTCAACAGGCTTTAGGCAGAAAACACACTGCAATGAATGGAGCAATTATGTAGGACAGTTGAAGCAGACACTCAGAACTTTTATGAAGCCAAGTTGGAAGCAGGAGCGAGGTCACAGGGGTAGACGAGGTCAGTAGATGGCAGGCAATGAAGTACCAAAGCGTAGGCAAAAGCATGGTCAGGAGTGAGGCCAAGGTCAGGAACAGATGGGCAAAGGTACACAAACAGAATCCAGGATCAGGTCATCAACAAAAATCATATACAGAATACACACCAATACACAGGTAAGCTGAAGACCAGTCAGCACTGACAGTGAGCAAGAGCTTCCTTTAAATAGCCTATCTGGTGCCAGAAACTGTTGGCACACTCCTGTGTGTGTGCAGACATGTGTGCATGGTCATTTCTATGAGTGATGCGCCTATGAACATTGCTATTAGCAATGTTGTGGATGTGCGCATATCTAAGTCGCCTTATCAGAATTCCCTTATACCTGTGTTAAAGTACAATTAAAGAATGAATATGCCCACCACACCACCATTGTGGACATATAGATTATAAAACTGTGCCACATCCTAATTGTAAATTAGTACATAAATAGCAAGGAAAAAATTGGCTTTTTAGGCACCAGAACTAGATTACATTTTTTCTTTCCATATTTTTATTCACATGTGATGTAAAAATATGGAAAAACATTTTTTTAAATCTAGTTTAACCTAGTTTTGATGCCTAAAAAGTACATTTTTTCCTTGCTATTTATGTTTTGTGTTAAAGTACAGTGATGTCATGTATCTTATAGCAGAGCATGATGTGTAGAGGGAGGCCTATCTTACAGCCCCGGCTCAAGGACCACTGATAGTGGGACAGTGGCCGCTAGAGCATGGCGAGGTACGAATGCCTGTAGAATGACCAGCTGACTGCACAGGTAAGTACCAGATGCTTAACCAGGAAACAGATCAGGTAGCTGACACAACAAATAGCAGCAGAAGCAGCAGTCTCAGAGCTTGGCAGGCTGAAGGGTGGAAGTTGCTTGGCTGACAGATGACTAGTCACAGGTGCAGAGCAGGCTGCTGGCACAACAGTTGGATGACCAGAAAGGACCAAATTTGCAGAGCTGGGCAGACGCCTAACAGGATGTGTGGTCAGACAAGCCAGGTCATTGACAGAGGGTCGGATTTAGGCATAGATGGCAGGCAAGACAGCGATCAGGATATAGGCAGAGCTCAGCAACACGGAAACAGGCAGGTGAGCAGAGAGCAAGAGACAAGCCAAGGTCATAGCAGGTAGCATTCAAGCATGGTCTGGACAAGCCAGGTCAATCACAGGAATCAGATACTGGATAAGGCACATGAAGTCAGGGAGAGCTGTAGATCAGACAGCAACTCTCGAGACCTGTCGCTCCTCCTGCTGTACTTAGATAGTCCACTTGCCACCAGTATCATTGGCGGCATGCATGTGCCTGCACACCCCAAGACAAGCACCCACATGCCCACGTCTGCACATCTGTGTGCGCCTTTGCAGTATCAATTGCACTATGGCCAGCATGTCCCTAATAAGTGGGCTCACACTGAGGATACGCCACTGAGCCAAGCTGCAGGCCTGATAATATCTATTTTTTTTTTACAAATTCCCTTTATTGAAAAGTTTGGGTTTGAAAATGAATACAAAACAAAGCCTACTGGGCATACCCAAGCTTAGAATGAACACACAGCAAAAAAAAAAAGAAGAGAAACAGAAAATAAGAACTTATACACAACAGCAATATCAACCAGACAACAATAGGCAACTGCACCCAAAAAAATTCTGAGGACATATACACAGCAGTAATGCATCTCATTCACAGGGAGAAGTCATGAAGGTAATATGACAAAGATAGCAGGACACCCCTCATGGGGAGAAGAAGCAGCACTGAGTCAGCCCTGATCTGAGGTGGAGGGGGACAGAATCACCGGATTCAGTCCAGATATGCCACACCTTGGTAAATTTTGCCAGACACCCCCTAGAGGCCTGATAATCTTGCAGCAGGCTGAATTTGGACCACAGTCCGTAGTTTGGATACCCCTGCCTTAGAGCTACAGACATCAAGTAAAGCCTATCAAGCTTTTTCAGTATCTGAATGTATAAAGCATTGATAATGTGCTAATTGTAGTAGAAATGATTTTTAGTCAGCGGTTGACAAATTTATAAGCTACACATATGAAGTTGATGGCTGCATTCAGTAAATTGTAAGAGATGCCTGTGCACACTGCAGTGGCTGTCAGAGGCATACTTTGTACAAATCTATGGCCAGTGCTGCCACTGTCCTCACTGGCCACCGCTACCCTGAGCAGCTACATATGAAGAAAGCCTCCGACAGAGCCTCTAGGGTCAGTGTTTCTACAGAGTTTTTGTCAGGGCTCCCAGGTATGACCAGAGGTGTGTGACTGAAGCAGGGAAACGCAGACCTCAGATATGTTATAAACAATATAATTTATTAACACTAACAGTACAAACATAAACGCAGTGCAATACTAAAACATAATACAGTGCAAACAAACCAAACCAAACCACCCACAGATAACAGTACATACAAGCAAGCGTCGTCAGGCAGGCCGGGTCAATATCAATTGGGCAGGTAGGTACAGGGGGAGCAAGCGGAGAATGGTCGGGGTCACAGGCCAGGTTCAGCAGGTAGCAAGCAGCATAGTACAGAGGGTCAGGCAGAGGGATGGTCCGGGTCACAAGCCAGGGATCAGAACAGGTAGCAAGCAGCGTAGTACAGAGGGTCAGACAGAGGGATGGTCAGGGTCACAAGCCAGGATCAGAGCAGGAGAAGTCAGCAAAGGAACAGAAACAGGATGCAGGACAGATACAGGGCCCAGGACAAACACAACACCAAGGCAGAGTCTGCAAGTCTGGCCAAAAATTCCCTTAAATACACCAGTATCATCAGTTCCAGGTGTTAGCTGGCTGAAAGGTTGAGTCTCTGATTGCTGGGAGCACCCGCTGGCCAGCCCTGGTACTGCAGATCAAAGGCAGGTGAGTCCCACCATTGCTGGCCAGTCCATTCCTAACAGTACCCCCCCCTCAAGGAGCGGCCTCAGGACGCTCAAAACAGTCCTAGCTGGGCAAAATGTTCCACCGCCGGGTCTGGCAACTGGCGGGATATCAAAGACTGGCACACCGGGCAGGACTCGGGGCAGCGGCACACCGGGCTGGACTCCGGGCAGAGGCACACCGGGCAGAGGCACACCGGGCAGAGGCACACCGGGGCAGAGGCACATCGGGCAGGACTCCGGGCAGAGGCACATCGGGCAGGACTCCGGGCAGAGGCACACCGGGCAGAGGCACATCAGGCAGGACTCCAGGCTTGAAGCAGCGTGGGCAGCAGAGGCACATCGGGCAGGACTCCAGGCAGAGGGCACATCAAGCAGGACTCCGGGCAGAGGCACATCGGGCAGGACTCCGGGCAGAGGCACATCGGGCAGGACTCCGGGCAGAGGCACATCGGGCAGGACTCCGGGCAGCAGGCAGGCACATCGGATTACCAGGCGAAGCAGCAGGCAGCAGGCCACCAGGCGGAGCAGCAGGCAGCGGGCCCCCGGGCGGGGCGACAGGCACTGGGCCCCCGGGCGGGGCGACAGGCACCGGGCCCCCGGGCGGGGCGACAGGCACCGGGCCCCCGGGCGGAGCGGCAGGCACCGGGCCCCCGGGCAGGGGCGGCAGGCACCGGCCCCCGGGCGGGGCGGCAGGCACCGGGCCCCCAGGCGGGGCGACAGGCACCGGGCCCCCAAGCGGGGCGACGGGCATCGGGCCCCCAGGAGGGGCGACGGGCATCGGGCCCCCAGGCGGGGGGCAGGACGGGCACCAGGCCCCCAGGCGGGGCGGCAGGCACCGGGCCCCCAGGCGGGGCGACAGGCACCGGGCCCCCCCAAGGGCGGGGCGGGGTGACAGGCATCGGGCCCCCAGGAGGGGCAACGGGCATCGGGCCCCCAGGGGGGCGACGGGCATCGGGCCCCCAGGCGGGGCGACGGGCATCGGGCCCCCAGGCGGGGCGACGGGCATCGGGCCCCCAGGCGGGGCGACGGGCATCGTGCCCCCAGGGGGAGCGGCGGGGCGCCGGACCTCCAGATGGAGCGACAGGTCTCGGGCCCTCAGGCGGAGCGGCGGGCGCCGGACCCCCAGGTGGAGCGACAGGTCTCGGGCCCTCAGGCGGAGCGGCAGGCGCCGGACCCCCCAGCGCGGAGCGACAGGTCTCGGGCCCTCAGGCGGAGCGGCGGGCGCCGGACCCCCAGGAGGAGCGACAGGTCTCGGGCCCTCAGGCGGAGCGGCAGGCGCCGGACCCTCAGGTGGAGCGACAGGTCTCGGGCCCTCAGGCGGAGCGGCGGGCGCCGGACCCCCAGGAGGAGCGACAGGTCTCGGGCCCTCAAGCGGAGTGGCAGGTGCCGGGACCCCAGGCAGGCGGAGCGACAGGTCTCGGGCCCTCAGGCGGAGCGACAGGTCTCAGGCCCCCAGGCGGGGCGGCGGGCGCCGGATCCCCAGGCGGGGCGGGGCGCCGGATCCCCCAGGCGGAGCGGCGGGCGCTGGACCCCCAAGCGGAGCAACAGGTCTCGGGCCCCCAGGCGGAGCGGCGGGCACCGAGTCACCAGGCACGACAGTGGGCTCCGAGTCAACTGGTATGACCGCAGGCACTGGGTCAGACATTGTATGGTCTGGCTGGACAGCGGGCATCGGGTCACCAGGCATCAGGTCATTTGGCTCGACAGCGGGCACCGCGTCATCTGGCAAGGCAGTGGGCTCCGAGTCCACTGGTATGACCGCGGGCACTGGGTCAGACATTGGATCGTCTGACCGGACAGCGGGCATCGGGTCACCAGGCATCAGGTCATTTGGCTCGACCGCGGGCACCGCGTCATCTGGCAAGGCAGTGGGCTCCGAGTCAACTGGTATGACCACGGGCACTGGGTCAGACATTGGATCGTCTGACTGGACAGCGGGCATCGGGTCACCAGGCATCAGGTCATTTGGCTCGACAGCGGGCACCGCGTCATCTGGCAAGGCAGTGGTCTCCGAGTCAACAGGCCCGACAGTGGGCACCGGGTCATCAGGTACCGGATTGTCTGGCTCGACAGCGGGCATCGGGTCATCAGGTATGACAGCGGACACTAGGTCACCAGGCATCAGGTCATTTGGCTTGCCAGCGGGCACCGCGTCATCTGGCAAGGCAGTGGGCACCAAGTCACCAGGTACGACAGCGAGCTCTGAGTCAATTGGCACGACAGCGGGCACCGGATCAGGTACCGGATCATCTGGATCAACAGCGGGCATCGAGTCAACTGGCCTAATAGGATCGTCAGGCTGGATCAGTTCATCATGCTGGGTAGAGGCATTAGGCCGAGTAGAGGCTTCAGGCCGAGTAGAGGCATCAGGCCGAGTAGAGGCATCAGGCCGAGTAGAGGCATCAGGCCGAGTAGAGGCTTTAGGCTGAAGAGAGGCATCAGGCCGAGTACAGGCATCAGGCCGAGTACAGGCATCAGGCCGAGTACAGGCATCAGGCCGCGTAGAGGCTTCAGGCCGCGTAGAGGCTTCAGGCCGAGGAGAGGCATCAGGCCGAGTACAGGCATCAGGCCGAGTACAGGCATCAGGCCGAGTACAGGCATCAGGCCGAGTACAGGCATCAGGCCGAGTACAGGCATCAGGCCGAGGAGAGGCTTCAGGGCCGAGGAGAGGCTTCAGGCCGAGGAGAGGCTTCAGGCCGCGTAGAGGCTTCAGGCCGCGTAGAGGCTTCAGGCCGAGTAGAGGCTTCAGGCTGCGTACAGGCATCAGTCTGAACCACGGAAGGCAGGTTCACCGGTTTGGATACTGGCAGGATGGTACTGGTTGGAAAGAATTTTCGCTTTTTTCTGGTTTTAACTACTGGAGCACTGCAAGTAAACGCAGGTCTGCAAACGAATGGAGCAGCTGGAGAGACAGAGAAGAACTGGAGGATGGAACAGGAGAGGGAGCAGTTGCTACAGAGGGCTTTTTTACAGGGTTAAAGGCAGGATAGGTGCAGCGAGTGGGAACAGGGTACTGACATGCGGTAGATAGCCAAGTATATACTGGGCTGTAACTGGAGGAGCTGGTGGGAATACAGAGAGTAGAGTTAGAAGCAGGACTGGGTCTTTGTAAGCTGACTGAGGCTGGGTGCAACAAGTCTGTCCATGTCTGCAGTATGGGTTGAACAAAGCTGCGCTTACACAAAGTCTGTCTGGTCAATGACTGCACTGCGTTTATACAATCTCTTAGTGTCTGTGGTGAACATGCAGAATAACGCTCCAGAAAGTAACCCACATCATCCTCTAATAACCACACCAGGGACTCTACCTGGTCTGCACTAAATGGTGGCAAAAATTCATCCCTGCATTCGGGGGAACCAGATGAAACCAACTCTGCACAAACCTCAATCAATGGCTGCACCTCAGAGAACACTGTGCCCTGATCTACTAGAACATGAGCGAGCCGTATACATTCTAGCAATTCATCCCGGGTATACTCCTTCAGAGTTTGATAAGCATACTCCCTGTCATCAAACACTAGCAGATATATAAATACTCAACCTCATCAAGATCCATCCTTCCCATCAACAAGCCAAGATGGCTTCCCTGTGCAGCCACTTCTGGTCAGGATTGGCCTTGGTGTAATGTCAGGGCTCCCAGGTATGACCAGAGGTGTGTGACTGAAGCAGGGAAACGCAGACCTCAGATATGTTATAAACAATATAATTTATTAACACTAACAGTACAAACATAAACGCAGTGCAATACTAAAACATAATACAGTGCAAACAAACCAAACCAAACCACCCACAGATAACAGTACATACAAGCAAGCGTCGTCAGGCAGGCCGGGTCAATATCAATTGGGCAGGTAGGTACAGGGGGAGCAAGCGGAGAATGGTCGGGGTCACAGGCCAGGTTCAGCAGGTAGCAAGCAGCATAGTACAGAGGGTCAGGCAGAGGGATGGTCCGGGTCACAAGCCAGGGATCAGAACAGGTAGCAAGCAGCGTAGTACAGAGGGTCAGACAGAGGGATGGTCAGGGTCACAAGCCAGGATCAGAGCAGGAGAAGTCAGCAAAGGACCAGAAACAGGATGCAGGATGCAGGACAGATACAGGGCCCAGGACAAACACAACACCAAGGCAGAGTCTGCAAGTCTGGCCATCCCTTAAATACACCAGTATCATCAGTTCCAGGTGTTAGCTGGCTGAAAGGTTGAGTCTCTGATTGCTGGGAGCACCCGCTGGCCAGCCCTGGTACTGCAGATCAAAAGGCAGGTGAGTCCCACCATTGCTGGCCAGTCCATTCCTAACAGTTTTGACTGTTCACCAACTGGCACAGATAATTGCTCAGTTTGTATGTGGCCATAGCACACCATGTTGCTGAGCCCAGAGAGGCAGTACATAGTCACCTCTAAATGAGGCAAACTTTCTGCTGTTTTATGCCATCATGTAGCCAAAAGGTGTGAAACCCTTAAAAGCCAAAGATGAACATGATTCAAATCATCATAGACGTGGTTCTTCTGATTACAATATAGCAATTCACCCAATGCTCTTATTCTTGTAATTCTATCTACAAGAATTAGTAGAATGGTGATGTTTGTTTTACTATATAGTGCTTAGTGTGCACTATTTGCACATGAACACCCACACCCATGTCAGACAGCAGGAAAAACTTGTCCAACCTGTTTGCTCTTTGGATCTGTCTGTGTTATTAACAGCTGATCCAGCTTCAATGAGATAATATAACCACCCCAGGCACTCACATTGACTAACTGAGGCCTAAACAATGAACAATACCCTATAAAAGCAAAAGGAAAATGTTTACTGTTCACTTTCCCACATCTACACAAACACATTTCTACATTTTGACCTATTCTAACTGGAAAATGCCACATAATCTTTAATGCGTGTGTCATCACATTTCTCACACACCACATTATCCAGATTCTGCGGACACCATACATAGTTTCAGAATAAATGTTCTGACCCACAAGGAAAGGTTTCTTTTTTTTTTAGCCATTCATATGATTTACTGCCTGCCAGGAGACTTGCTCATCACTGTCTCAAATGCAGTAAAGAAGAGGTGTAAGAGATGTAAGGTGGCAGACTAATGGGAGACACCAGATGTAAGGGGGCATTCTGATTTAGAATCCTGATAGTTGTTTGTATTCCATACAACAAATGTAAGCCATCCTAGTTCCAACTATCCTGTCGAAACTTGACAATAAATATTGTTGAAATGCTATGGAAACTGTACATTTCTCATTTTTTGATAGACATGCAGTGAGAACAATCTTTCTGAGTCATAGCACAAACTTGAGATTCGGACCTCAGCCAGAAAAAAATGTTGACCGGACGTCCTTGAATTTTCATACAATACCCCTGTTCTACTGGGATAACATTGAACCAAGTAGTGTGCATGTCGGCAGCTAGATGGAGATGACCATCTCTACTGTACATTATATGCATGTAGGTTGCACCAAAATGATTTACAAATTGACAGTTGAACAAAGCTGAACTTTTAAGAGGCAAACTGTAATGTGAACTTGATGTCTCTGGTTTATGTACTTTAACCCCTTCACGCCTAAGGGTAAAACAAATCTTAAAGCCTAAGTAAAATTTTACAACGTTGACATGTGTTAGTAAAACCGTACATATCATCACAACTACTTTGTACATCTAGGTGAATTATACCTTGGTTTTTTCAGGACAAATTGGGCTTTCAGTTGTTGGTAAATGGTAATGGATATCTCCTGATTTTCTTTTATTATCAAAGGAAAACTGGCCCTAAATAGTAAAAAAAAAAAAATCCCTTTTTTTAATTCAGCTGTGTGTTTCTCGTTACTACCATAAGCTACTACCAAAGAACAACCCAAAATAAATTTCCCAGCTCTTGACGATCGCAATGATACCATATATGTGTGTTATTTGTTATTTGTACCTGTACTACAGCCCAGAAACAATAGTGTGCATTTTGTTTTGTGTTTTTTTTTTTACCTAAAACACACTGACACTAACACTGATTGCAATTTAAAAAAAAAAAGTCATGACCTTTGACCCTGAACTTTGACCTCGACCCTGACCTTGACCCAAACACTAACCCTGGCACTGAACTAGATCAAACCCTGATCTAGGTATTTTTTCTTATTTTTATTTTATTTTTTAATATTTACTTGTTTTTTTTTGTTTTTTTTTTTTTACAAACAGTTGTTTTTTTTCTCTCGAAAAAAAAAAAAAAAAACCAAGGTGGGTGGGCTTCACAGTAACTGATCACTGTGAAAGCCAATCAGAAGCTATCACAGCAATCATGTGACCCAGAATCCAGAGTCCCGGGTCCCGATCAATAGGACGGGACCCGGGGCTCTCAGTGATACCCCAGTCTTTGTGCTACTATGCAGAGCCATGCAACACAGTGTGCAGGAGCTGACAGGGGAGAGAACTGTATTGTTTACATACAGTTCTCTCCCTCCATCGGTAATGTTTCTCATTCACCGGGCGCCGGCGAGTAATCACTGGGCGGGACCCGGTAATTGACAGCCGAGGCCGCGCTGCTATTCACGGCCTCGGCTGTCAATCACCGGGTCCCGGACGGTGATTACTTGCCGACACCCGGTGATCACAGAGCATTACCGACGGATGGAGAGAACTGTATGTAAACTGACCACGCCATTTTTTGCGATACGGCACTGCATTACTTTAACTGACAATTGCGCGATCATGCAATGCTAATCCAAATTAAATATATGTCCTTTTTTCCCCACAAATAGAGCTTTCTTTCTGTGTTATTTGATTCTGCTTTTTTTGTGCTATAAACAAAAAAAGCCCAACAATTTTGAAAAAAAAAACTATATTTTTGTCTTTTTGTTAGAGAACATATCCAGTAAAAAAATTTAAAATCAGA